TATAATGGAAAAAACATGCAAGGCTCCTGGATGGAAACACTAAATATTCTAAGGATGTCAATTCTCCTCAAGTTAATCTATACATGTAAGGCAATCCCAAAGGGATTTTTTCACCCCCTGGAATTTGACAAGTTGAACCTAAAATTTATTGGGAAAGTTCTTCTTTATAGAAGAATTCCAGGTCATATACACAGAAGAAATGATAGAATTTTAAAACTGCCATTTTGCAACTGCTAATGAAATGGATTCCAGCATCAATGAATGCTAAAACCATCAGATGAAAGGTTGACAGGGAACTAAAATACAGAAATCAAGCTGACAATACCTGAACTCACTAAATCATCTTTGTATCACCCAAAGTGAAACAACCAGCCATTACATGCTTCATGATATACACAATAGGAAGTACACCACGCCAACTATAAAGTATTCTTGCCTAAAAAATTGAATCTGATTCTAATTGAACCTCTAAATCTAACTAGGAGTTTATAAGAAATATGGGTAATGAGGAATAAGTTAAATGAAACTAGGAGGAAGCAATCTGCCAAATCCAGAATGTGAGATGTTCTACAAAACAAATGACCTGGTTTCTCCAACAAATCAATGAAAAGAAGTTATATCGAGATGGGGTAGGGGCAGCTGATAACAGAAGAGACAAAAGTGACTCAACAAAATGCCATGTATTGATGCTGATTAGAATAAACCAGCTGTAAAAGGACACCTTTCTGATAACTGTGGAAATCTGAATATAGACTGGAAATTAGGTGATATTAAGGAATTATTGCTAACTTGGTTAGGTGTGATAACTGTGGTTATGTTTAAAAAACAAAAAAAAATCTTCAATGGCTTCCCTTGTCATCCAGAATAAAAGCCATATGTGAGGCTTGTCCCCTTTTACTGCTCTGGTTTTGTTTCATTGCCTCTTCCTCTCTCCCTCACTCACCTCACTCTAGCCACAATGGGATTCTTACTGTTCTGCAAAGGCACCATCCCTGCTCCCACCTCAGGACCTTATACCCGCTTTTCCCTCTGCCAAAAATGCTCGTTTCCCAGATATCTACACAATTTATTCCCTCATCTCTTTTAGGTCTTTACTTGCATGTCCTGTTTTCAAACGATGCCTTTGCTGGCTACCCTATCTAAAGCGGTAATGACCTCCCTATCCCCCAAGAAAACCTCTCTATCCCCCGCCCTGCTCTATTTTTCTCCTATCACCATCTAACATACATTTTACATGTTTACTTTTTGTCTTTTCTCCTCTTCTTTGTTCACTGCTGTATCTCTAGCAACTACAACAGTATCTGACATAGGTACTCAATAAATATTTGTTGAATAAATCAACAACCCTACTACTATTCCTAATTAACAGATGAGAAAACCAAGGTTTAGAGAGGTTTAACAAATTCACCCAAATTCACACAAATAAGTGGCAGAACCAAGGCTTTAATCCAGCTCTCTTACAACAAATTCCATACTCCTGGCCATTCTACTCTACTGCCTCCCCAGTAAGTCCATATTACTGAATCCTGTGCCACTAAATACGAAGAAGTCCATGACAAATTGACAACAATCAAGTTGCAAACTAACATGTGAGGTATGATCCCATTTTTGTTTCGAGAAACAAAAAGTATGTATCTGTGTCAGGCTGAACCATATGAAATATGATTTTTTTTAAAAAAAAAAGTGTCACCAAGGTTAAAGAGCTAGAAAGTAAATGGCACACAGGCACTTCATGGTCTGGACTCAGCCTAAGTCTCCAGTCACTCCCAATCTTTCACTTCACACTCCAGAAAGGTAAAACTGCTCGTAGATCTCCCTCCATGGTTTTACACAGGAGGCAGTATAGTTTGTTGCTTGAAAGCTTGAACACTGGAATTAGTTAGGCCTGGATTTAAATCCCAGTTCCACCTCTTACTAGCTAGCTGTGTGATCTTGGACAAATTAAAATCTCTAAGTCTGTTTTTTCATTTTTAAAATGAGGATCATAATGTTAGAGAAGATTAAATGAGGCAACACATGTAAAGTGCTTCAACTAGTTTCTGGCATATAGTGAACAACAACTAATATTAGCTATCGTTATTACTGGCTCATGCTATTCCCTCCTTCCCCTCCCCATTTAACCTGAATTCCCACACATCCTTTAAAAATTACATCCCTCAAAACATTCTCTGCCTTTCTTTCCTCCCAGACAGTTAAAGGCTCTTTACTTCAACTGTGATTTCTTTATCTAAGTGTCTTTCTGCCCTGACTATGAATTTCATTATCAATTTCTTATTCATCCCCAAATTCCTGGTACTAAGAAAAGTGCCTAACACTCAGTAAGTAAAGCGTTTAATGTTAACCTGAATAAGGCCTGTATGTAAGTCCAACTTGATTCCAAACCCTGTGTTCTTTCCACCACATTCCACTTCCTCCCTTACCCCCTAATGAGCATCAACTGCTTCTGATCAGGTAGCATAACTGTTTTATGAATAAAATTGCCTCCTTAACTGTGAACACTCAATTTAAAGCTGCTTTTTCTTCTAACAAACACACTGTTCATCCAGAGAGGCCTTTTAATAAGTTTTTAACTACCTTTATGTGACACTCAACGCTCCTCCTACCCAATCCATCTCTGGACTGAACTCAGACCGGAAAGGCGGCGCTGACCCCCCAGGAACTCACATTTCAGAGGGATCTCTCTCTCATGCACAACGGTGAAGGGCAGCTTCTCCTGGTCGTCCAATGGCACTGAGTCCCGGGTAAATACGACAGTGACGGGCACCATGAGCCGCAGCTACGGGAAGGAGCATCAGGGCCACCAGCTGAGTCTCCACCTTGCCAGTGGGCTGTCCCCTGCCCCCCCCCCACCGGGGTCTCACCTGCAGAGCATTCAGCCCACTGATCTGGGAGTAAGGCAACGGGGCCCGGTAGGTCTCCGTGGTCTTCCACCAGAGCGGCAGCCCCAGCACGATGGCCACCGCAGCGAAGAAGAGGGCGGCGCGCTTGCCTCGGACCACCTCTGGGGGCACGGAAGGACCGACTGAGGCGCCAGAAGTGGGCTCGGGTGCCTGCCCCACCCCCGACGCGGAGAAGCTCCGGCAATCGTTACCCAGAGGCTCTCGGACCGCGTTCGTAGGGATCCCCGTGTGAGGGGCCCCGGCCCCAGTCTGAAGGGAGCTTGTCTGAAGCGGCCCCCGACCTCCAGTCCGCGGGACCTCGAGCACACCACAGTCCCCTCCCCCACATTACTCTCTTGCAATCCGCCAGCCGCAGGCCCCCGCCCGAATACCACCGCACCTAAGTCTGTAGCTGCGGCCCCGGGGGCCGCCATGCTGGCTTCCGGCTGCTCCAGCTGCCGAAGGGCGGAGCCACGTAGGCCTCCCCCAATCGGAAACCTGCCGGGAGAGGGCGGGGCCACGGCAGCGATCGCGGCCAATCGCGAGCGGCCCTCCAGACGCGCAGGCGGGAGAGAGCCGGCGAGCGTGGGCGGGGTCAGCAGGGCGCTTCGCTCGGAGTTTGAAAGGACAGCCCGGCGCCAAGGGGCAGTGGAGGGGTTGTGCGGGTTTCGCCGTTTCTGGAAGACGCTTGATTAGTAGAACTTCTTGTAGAACACACTACTAGCCCTGGGTATTAAGAGCGCAAACTCTGCAGTCGTTAAATACTAGCTGGGTGACCACAGGCAATTCTAAGTCTCAGTTTTCTCAACTGAAAAATGGAGATATTTACTAAAATGAGGTCATTCGTGATAAGAGCCTGGCACACAGAAAACACTCAAATGTCACCTATCACGGTCATTGTTTATTATCCCTAACACAGAACTCTTCTTCCAGACACCCTCTCCTCAAGCTTCAAACATGGCGGTGGCAAGTTAGTAGTAACTTTGTAGCATATTTGGCTCATGTAGTATTTTTTAATTCATTTGAATTCATTTCCAACTTGTAGAAGTCTGGATACTTCACTTAAAATTCTTGAAAATTCATGAGCATAGCCTCTGGATCCTGATTACTTGGGTTCAAATCCTGGCTTCACCCCTTCACCTGAGTGATCTTGAGAAGTTAATTAACCTCTCTGTGCCTGTTTCCTCCTATTAAAATAGGGATAGTAATAGTATCTACTTTATATAGAGTTGTAGTAAATGAGTTAATAAATGTAAAGTGATTAGAATAGGGCCTGGGGAGCATATAGAAAGTGCTATATAAGTGTTAGCTATTTTTGTTAATGTAAGGTCAGGTCACATTGGGCCTACATTCCAGTATTGCAATAATTAGCTGGGTGGAGCATTGGTTGTGCACTGTACACAGAATATGGCCTCCCTAGTTCACACAGAACACATCAGCACGTTCTCTCATCTTTTTATCTGCTCAGATAGACCCGGGTGCTCCACCTACCCCCATACCCCAGCCAAGTGGTCCAAGTTCAGCATGAGACTTCACCAGGTCTGCCCTTGCCCAGACCCTCAAATTGGCCCCCTCTGTGCCCCCATCTACCCCAAACGGGAGTGCGCAATAGCCCTTGGCAACCTCCTAGATACCCTGCCCCGTCTGGCAGTCCTGAGCCTTGGGGTTTTTCCTTGTTGGGCAGGAGCCCAGGCGCTCCCCTGCAGTAGCTCCCCCTAAAGGAATGTGTCAAGCTCCAGCAGGGCTCAACACAGCTGAGAAGTAAGAAACTCCCAAACTCTCTTATCCCAGTTTTAGGCCTTGCACAAAAGCTGCCTTCAGGAGTTGCTCAAGTCTTGCCTCACTCCATCCTTCTGCAGCTGCAGCCTAATGCCTCCGATGTGGCAGTCCCAGAAGACTTGCAGCCCTCCGTACTGCCACGCTCCAGCATTGGACATTAACAGGCAAGAGCCTAAGCTGGGAATGGTGACTGGGTGTGCCCCTCCTCCATGAACTTAAAGCCCAGTAAAACTTAAAACCCACCCTCTCCACCTCCACAATCAGAGGGCCCAGAGACAGAGTCAGCAGAGATCAGAAACTGGGAGGTGGGAATTTGATGTGTAAAAGACACAGACAAAGTAGCATGTTTTGCTACCATTTATTTGCTATGTGCTATGTACCCAACGCATGAGCCAGGTCTGGTGTCCTACCCTCTGATCCCAGGAGAGAGGGCAGGCAAGGAGAGCCCAAGGAGAAGCTATCCCATCATCGGGAAATTGTGGGGGCTGACAGAGACAGGGAAAGACCCAGGCATCCTGCTCTGACTTCTAGCAAGTTCTTCTGCCCTCAGTCATGAGGGGCTCCCTATCCTCCCATCCAATGGTCCCAGGTGCAGCAATGGGAGAGGAGAGGGAAGGAGAAAAAAGGAAGATGACTCAGTGCTGAATGGAGGTATCTCTGCTCTGCATGGCTATTTGGCCCTGGTCCTAACTACAGGCAAAACTGGGTGCAGGTGACCGGGCCAAGTGCTGTGGTATGGAGTAGGTACTCAGTAGGCATGGTTGGCAACGTAGAGGGACTGTGCTGCCGCTCCACCATCTTCTCCGCTGCCTTCATACTTGCCCTGGGCCGCAAGTCCATTCACCTGCAAAAGGGAAGAGGTGGGTAAGCAAGCTGATCCAGCCCACAGGTGCCAAATGCTGCCCAGGCTATAGCCTCCGGGTGCTGCCCCCTGCCTAGCTACACACCACCCCCCCACCACCACCTCTAGCTCCCAACCTCGGCCCGCTTGATGAACTCCTCAGTGGCGGCCCCAGCATTGTCCTGTTGCCCTCGCCATGCATTGAGTGCAGAGGCCTGCAGGGCACGCCCATAAGAGAAGGTGAGGGCCCAGGGCCGGGGAAGGGGGCAGCGGTTGATAGCATTGAGGTTGAGAGATGCCTCCTCTTCACTCTGACCCCCAGACAGGAAGGTCACTCCTAGGAAGGAGAAGAGAAGACAAACTGATTGGTCACTCCCTATTTTTCGAGGGCAAGGGACCCCTGAAGGCCACAAGAAGAACCTGAGGATGGGTCTTAGAGATGGGAGCAGTTTAGGAAGCAGGGTGGTACCTGGGACAGCTGGAGGCACAGAGCGACGCAGGGCAGTCACAGTTGCCATGGCAATCTCCTCTGGGCTATACTTAATGGGACAGGCATGGCCAGGGGTCACCATGTTGGGCTTGAGCAGGGTCCCCTCCAGGTACACGTGATGGTCACTCAGGGCCTTGTACACAGCAGCCAGGACCTGGGGATCAGAGGAGGTTTACTAAGGTTCTGGGCCCCTGCCACTGATTGCTCTATGCTCCCTGTCTAGGGGCAGATGGGCATGACTGTGAGGGTCAGTACAGGCTGAGACTCACAGGTCTGTTCTGGGATCCAGTAAAAGAATGCTTGGGGAAAGGGGCTACATCTGAGCCAGGAACTATGGGTAACAGGCTCCCCTGTCAGGCTGTCCCTGCAGTATGTATCTGTGCCCAGGTGTGGACTCACCTTCTCCGTGACATACTGGCAACGTTTGAGGTCATGATCTCCATCAGGCAGGATTTCTGGTTCCACAATAGGCACAATGCCATTCTACAGGTAAGAGCAGAGTAGCTTGGGAAGGGCAGTATGTAGGACGGGAGAAAGCCCTGTAACCCTCTCCCTACCAGGCCCAGGGCACCCATCTGACCCCCTGACGTACACATATACACACCTGCTGGCAGATGCTGGCATAGCGGGCCAGCACGTTGGCATTCTCCAGAATGGCAAGTGCTGAGGGTGTGCGTTCGCTGATTTTCAGCACGCAGCGCCACTTGGCAAAGTCAGCGCCATCCTTCTTGTACTGGGCACAGCGTTCTGAGAGCCCATCCAGCCCTGCAGGCACAGTGTCAGCCTCATCACTCTGTCCCTCTTTGCCAGCATCAACTACCCAACAACCCTGTGGTCCTGAAGCCTACCCATCCTGTACCTTGAGTGGTGGTTTCTCCATCAGTCCCAGCTAGAGGCACTACACCCTTGTCAACCTGTAGGGGAAACACAGGCAGAGGGCTAAACCCAAGCAAGATTCCCCTTGCCACCCCTCACACACACACCTATTTCCATGCTTAGCCCCATCCAGGGCCAGTGGCTGCACCTTGATGCCCACGACAATGCCCTTATCCTGGATGGTACGGACGAAGGGAACACCATTATCATCTTTCTGGTAGAGTGTCTCATGGAAGAAGATGACACCTCCAATGCACTTCTTCACACGGTCATCGGCACTGAACAAGACCTGGCGGTACAAGCGGCGGTTCTCCTCTGTGTTCTCCACCCCGATTTGGCTCAGCCGCTTGGCCATGCTGCCTGGGGGCAAAGAGGGTAGCAAGGTCATCCCAAGGGCTCCCTGGCCACCTCTACCCCACCTGGCCACAGGCCCCCACCTACCTACAGACTCATCTGCAGCCAGAATGCCTTTGCCTGGGGCCACAATCCGGAGGGCAATGTCAGACAACTCCTTTTTCTGCTCAGCAGAAAGGGCTGGGTACGAGTGGGGCATGGTGACAGCTCTATGGAATGGAGACAAGATATAAAACCTGGACCCCACCCACTACTTCCTCTGCTTCCTCTCCTGGCCATATGGGCCAAATGGCCATCCCCCTGCCCCCCAACGCCCAATAAGCATGGGGCTGGGGATAGGGTAGCAAGCAGTCTTTGGCATGAGTCCTGGGCATCAAAGTGGCACCAATCTCTCTGACAGCTAGCAGGCTTGGGCCCCAGTTCCTACATTTCCTTTTGTCCCTGGTGGGCACCCTTCCCAGCCCCAGGGAAAATGCAGGGTGGGGGTGGGGAGGTGAGCAGCCATGAAGCTATAGATCTTCTTATGAAACTACTTCTCAAATGAAGAGGCCAATCCTTCTTTCACTGAATTTGGCCTCTTCTTCAGGTAGGCATAAGCCCTGGCCCTTCCAACTTCCCTTTTCTCATCCTCATCAGGACCTCTAGGGAAAAGTGCACTTACTTCCAAGGCTTCAGGATGAGGCAAAAGTACCGATCACCCCTCTTCCCTTGGCTTCTGGAGGAAAAGGTTGGGAGGAGGGGGGCAGGCAGGGAGTAGGAGTGGCACAAATAACTGCCACAGACTTCCATCACCTCTTCTTTTCCATACCCCAAACCTGACTGCGTATGCAGTCAGATGGGAGAAGAGGATCAGGGTTGAAAGGAATAAGTAGAGAGGCTGAGAAAGAGAGGGAGAGATGCAGGAGGAGCAGAGAGGAGACTTGTGGGGAGGTGATGGTTAGACAGGCTAACCAGTCAGGGGAAAGGACCTAGACCAGGGGGACAGAGAAGGCAAGAGAACTAGAGAGGAAACAGCCTAGGAGAGGGAACAGACTGAGATTAAAATGGTTTGGGTGGGAGAGGTTGACCCCAAGGAAAAATCCAGTAGGTAGAGGAAGATTTGGGATTGGAAAAGCTGAGGTCTGGGCGTGGTGTTGTGGGACAGGCTGAACCATGGGGTTTCGAGTGGACAGAAATGAGAGAGGATGTAAGGAGAGCGCCAAGAAGACACCTCCAGGGGCACAGGGAACCGGGCAAAGATGGCAGGGGGAAGAGTCAGGGAGAGGAAGGGGAGATGCTGAGCAGCTCCCACTTCGCCCTGGGCCTCACCTGTGCGCAGCGAGTTAGCGGTGGCAACCACTGCAACAGCTCAGCATCAGATCAGGAACAGCTGTGGCTCCAGCCCAGGCTCCTGTAAATGAGGCTGCGGATGCCGCAGAGCTACGTGACTCCCCCTGGGGGCGTGGCCAGCACCTCCCCGCCCTGGCCACGCCCCCTCCCCAAGACTGGTGTTCGTGTCAAAGCCACGCCCACAGAGGCGGGCAGACGAGGTGGAGTGACTGCCCCGCCAGGCTCTCGGAGGCTGTTGCGGACTGCCTCCCTCCCACCTCGTGGAGCCCTGCCACCAGGGCCCAAGAGGCAGGAAATGGCCTTACCCTCATTTCTGCCACAATTGCCTCTACCATATGCCAGGCACTGTGCTGGATGTTGGGGATTAAGCCTGGTCTGGTGAAGAACAGTCACCTAAACAGTCACAACAGGTCGGGTAGGTGGGACAGAGGCACCAACAAAGTGCAGGAGTCCAGGACAAGGAGTACAGAACTGAGTTTCTTTGTATGCACCCCCTTATTCACCGGGGCCTACCCCAGAGGGGGATGGAGAAGGTAAGAGAATGAACCCTTGTCTGTTTCCCTCTAGGCCATGAGCCAGAGAACAAGGAGTCCAGTGCCCAGAGTTTGGGGAAGCAAGAGAAGGGTGGATGGGCAGCCGGCTTTAGCTCTGGATGCAGCGGGAGGGGTGTGTGGAGGGTGCTCAGGCAGGAGGGCCAAGCTGCCTCTCCCCTGACCTCATCCTCCTCCCTCTCACCTAAGAAATAAGATTCAGTGAGCTGAAAGAAATACATTAAACACACTTTATTTAAATAGCATTAAACGTAGCTGGCTCTATGACAGTTGGTCCTGGTGCTGGGGTAAGGGAGTATTGCGGGTAAAAAGGGGTAAAACAGATTCTAGCTTTCAGTTTCTTAGCTTAGAAATTCCATCAATCCCTGTAGCTCCTTGCAACCCCCAACGACCTCTGGGATGGACAGCAGAGTCTGGGAAGAGAGGCAGAAAAGGCAGCTCAGGGTCACAGGCCCAAGGCCCAAGGCTCCCAGCCCCAGGAAGCACCCACTGACCTAGAGGGGAGAAAATGGAAGCCACAGAGAAACCTGCAACAGTGAGTCAGGCCCAGCTCTCAGCACAGGCTGGGAACCAGAGCTATGCTCATCAGTACTTCCTGGGGCCAGGCCTTGTACCAGGTGCCTTAGTTCCATCAACTCCGTTTCTCCTTTACCTCATAAATATGCTGAACAATGTCATCTAGTTTCTTTAACTCCTTGTCAGAGCGCCGAAGATTCTCCTCCAGGATGTTTCTCTAGAAAACAAATAGGCTGCATAAGTCCTATGGCTTAAAAGAACAGCACAGCTTGTGGGGCAAGGAAAATATGGCAGGGCACTTGCTAGTGGAGGTGGGAAATGGCCCTGGAACTGCGTGGGAATTCTTACATGGCTCTGGAACTTGACCATGAGTTTTGCCTTCTCATTTTTCATCTCCAGGAACATCACCCTCAGCTTGTCCACCTATAGGTATGTCCAGATCAGTAGGGGCACAGCCTTGGGTTCCCGCCAGCTGCCCAGCTCCTCTGTTAACTTTAAGTCACCTCCTGGGAGAGCCACACTTTCTCCTGGATCCAGTCAGTGGCCGTGGGCTGACAGTCAGGGTTCAGTTGGCCTGCCAGAGTCTCTTGGAGCACCTTAGTCTCTGTTTCTGCACGCCGAAGTGAGCGGGTAAGCTGGGTCACCTCCTCTCTAAGGCTCTGGGGATGAGAACGGAGAGGTATCCAGTAGCCCTCAAAGGTCCTCTCTATCCTTCTTACCCCATGTGGTGGAACAAGGGTAGACCAGGGAATCCAGTTCCCACATCTGGGATCCTGGCTACCAGCTACCAGTGACACAGAAGGCAGAGGGCCGGGCATCATGATGAACGTACTATGAGCTCGCCACTCTTGTCTATCTGCTCTAGGATCTTCTCGTTCTGCTGCTGGATGACTTCCTGGAGCTCCTTTTCATTCTGTGAGGGAAAGGGATGTAAGAAGGCACTGGGAAAGCTGGCTTCTTTGCAGCCCTTGCCAAGAGATAGGATTTAGTGTCTGACCATGCTCAGCCCAGGTGATACCAATTGATAACACTCCAATTCTTCCTCTGGGACTAAGCCAGGCAAGGCACATTTTAGTGTTGAGAGAGTTCTGCTAGAATTCCCAACTTCTAGGTCAGCCTGGGAGATAGGTCAGCCCATAGCTGATTCCCAGACATGTGAAATGTCTGACCTCAGGAAGGGCAAAACTAGGGCAATGGTTGGAAAATTCCCACCACCCAGATTCCTGGAGAGACAATGGTTCCCAGTGGGCCAGAAGAGCTGCCCCAGTTCTTCATCGCCCCACTTCTAGGCCCCTCCTTCACCTTGTAGCGCAAGCACAAGGCCTGGTTCAGCTTCTCTATGTCTGCTTCCTTTGCCTTCTGGGCTTCCTGATACCGTTCTTCCTGGGCCTGCAGCCTAGCCTGAAGATCAAAACTAGGGGAAGGAAGAATTCAACATTATTCCTGTCCTCTCAGGGCTAGCTGGGCCCTTGACCTATGGGGCTGTCTCACTTGACCTGCCCTCTCTCACCAAGACTGCACTCCACTCACATCTTTCGCTGCAGAGTCCTGACAGCTTCTTCTTTAGACTCTTGCAGCAGGGAACACAGGCTCTGAAGCTCCAGAGTTCTGGTACTCATTTCTGCCAGGCTCTTCTCCATGCCTGGGGTCTCTGAAAGAGAAAATCCTAGATAGGGGTAGAGCCCTTTAGCTCTGGAAGGAAGTGTGTACCCATCATTTCCACTTATCCCTGTTCCCCACCCATAGGATTTGAATGCCCGGAACATTACAGATCCCAAAAGGCAGAAATAAAATGAGCTCAAGTAGAATTGAGGTTTTTAGAGCAGAGCACTTCTCACTGCTTTAGTCTTTACCATCACTACCAGATCTAGAAATGAGGCAGGATCCCAGGAGCCCATCCTAACCTGTAGGCTGAAGAGAAACCATTGATGCTACTCGGGTGAAAGCACTCTTGTCACTTCCAAGCAAGGGCACAGATGCTGATTCTGGCTCTAAAACAAAAACCAACCATGGCAGAGGGCCCCTCTGGTGACCCAGTCAAGGGTCTGCCATAATGGAAGCCAGGGAGAGAGAGGTCTGTTGGTGGGCATCTTCAACAGCTGAAGATATCAGGAGCAGGGTCACAACTTTCCCACCCCTAAAAACCAGGGTCTTTAACCTTTGTCTGCCATTGCTGTCAAGATGCTTGCCAAGAAGGCGCTGTCAGTGGGCGGAGGGTGTTCCTGGGCAGGAGCACAAGCTGTGCTTATTAGGAGGGTCTCCGGTTCAGCCTTAGGGCAAAGGAGAAAAAAAATCAGCTGCTTTCCAGGGTTAGTGATTTCCCTGAACTCCCAAGTACTCACCAGTCATCTCCTCTGGAATTGCTGTTCTATTTATTACCTCTCTTCTCTATCTTCAACTTCTCCATTAGCTCCTTTCCCTGAACTGAATTCTCTCTCACTAAAACCACAATTTTAAAAAAGCTTCTTCTTACCTTAAATCCTCTTTTAGCTATTGCTTTTTCTCTTTCCCTTTAATTAAAAAAAAAGAAAGGAAAGCCTATATTTCTTGCCTAAAATTCTCACCATCTATTGACTCCTCAGCCTACTACACTCAAGCTTCTTCCTTACCATTCAATCAAAATTCTTGTTATTTGGTTCACCTGTGGCATCCTTACTTTCAAATGCAATGGACACTTTTCAGCTCTTATTTTACCTGACCTATTTGATAATCAATGACCATGTTCTTCTTTCAGAAACTTCCTTTTTCAGGGCCAGCCCAGTGGCGTAGCGGTTAAGTGCACGTGCTCTGCTTTGGCGGCCCCAGGGTTTGCAGGTTCGGATCCCGCGCGCACAGTGACGCACCGCTTGTCAAGCCATGCTGTGGCGGTATCCCATATAAAGTAGAGGAAGATGGGCACGGATGTTAGCTCAGGGCCAATCTTCCTCAGCAAAAAGAGGAGGATTAGCACTGGATGTTAGCTCAGGGCTGATCTTCCTCACCAAAAAAAAAAGAAAGAAAGAAAAAACCTTCCTTTTCTTAGCTTCTGGGACATGACTCTTCTTCATAGGTAGGCCTCATACATTTCTGGCTATTTCTTCTCTCTATCCACAGATCCTTCCTTTTCCTTAACTCTTAGGCTCCTTTTGGCTCATCTTTGGCCCTCTTTACAGTCTAATCCATTCCCCAGGTGGCCTCCACAAAAACATCTACTTCTACATGGATGACCCTTCAATTTGTCTCTCTCAACTGGATTTTTTCCCAATCACCAGACCCAAAGGCTCAACTGCCTATGAAAAATCTACTAGAATGCTCCATAGTTCACCTGAAATTTAGTATGTATAAAGCTGAGCTCACCATTTTCCCTGTCCAACCCAACCCCAAATCTGTTCCTCCTCCTGTATTTACTATCCTAGATCAGGGGGACAGCAAATTAGAGCCTGAAGTTCAAATCTGGCCTGCCACTTGTTTTTGTAAATAAAGTTTTATTGGAACACAGCCATACCCATTCATTTACATACTATCTATGGCTGTTCTTGAGCTACAAAGGTAGAGTTGAATAGTCGAGACAGAGACCACATGGCTCGCAAAACCAAAAATATTTATTATATTGCACTTTATAGGAAAAGTTTGCAAACCCCAGTTCTAGAGAGTGTCACCATCTTTCTAGCAATCTAGAGATCATCATTCACTCTTCTACCTTACTCCTACATCAAATTGGTCAGCAGGTTCTATTAGTTCTACTTCCTAACTATGTACTGAATTCATTCAATCTATCCCCTCCTCTCTACTGCTTCTATAATTGCCATTAGTCAAACCTTCAAAATCTGGCCTCCTACTTCTCCACTCTTGTCTCCTTGTCATCCTTGCTCCATATAGCTCCTACACTCTAATTACAAAGAGCTAATTCCCAGTCCCCAGACTTGCCACATTCCATATGAGGAGGGCCTTGCCTTGTTTACCCTGTACTCCCAGCACGTAACCTAGGTCTTGTTACAAGATAGACACTACAAAAAAGTACACGTAGTGCCTCTATGACTTTCA